ACACAATCTTTTATCCTTTGAACCATTCAGCTGGTAAAATGTGATCATCACACAGCAGAGAATGGTGCCATCACTGATAGGTCAAGAAGCAGATGTGAATTAAATATTTCCTATGCTACCATATTTTCCAGAACATACTGACTGATCATTTTGCGTAACTTGGCTTATATGGATTTTTAGTGTGAACTCTAAAGTCTACTGCAGCTTGTAAAATCAGTACCAAGAATTGCTATATTTGTTCTGTAGGCAATTATACATATATTTGAATGCATTCACCGATATATGATGTGTTTTGTGGGGGCTGTTGCATGCTTCTTTCAAATCTTCTCTGATTCTTTCAATGCACATATACTCTTGGACAACAAAAAAATCTTACCACAACTTAACTATCCCATTGGGTAAACAAACTCCAGCAAGGATGGAAAGTAAGACTAGCCAACTAGTAATTTCAAGTGTTATGTACTCTTTGTTATTCATTAACATAAGACTATCACAGAATGGACTCATGTTTTCTTCCAGATTTTGATGATCTGGCTTCCTGTTTGGAATCACTTAACATCCCAATGACACAAGCTGTATTGTTACTTGTCTTCATCTCTATGCATGAGATGAAGAACTATGTAAGGAATTTACATTCTTTTCAAGCTATGCTATTTTAATTAGCTGTTAATGAATGTGAGTCAGTAGTTGTGTAATGCAAACAATTGATAGAGAAGGATACAGAGTCTAAATTGTTCAGGGAAATCCATATAAATTACAACAAGCATAGATTAAAATAATAAAAGGTTCTTTTTAAGTTGGAAAATTACTGTGACTGTCAAAATTATATATCTATGGACTGCAAGAAAATGGGAGATCAAATCATATGTGAAAGTTTGGAAGTATCTTATTTACTGCCTAAGTCAGCAAAATGCACTGGTGCCTGTTTGTTTCAAATGTTGCCCTTCAGTCTTGGCTGTTCCCCTAGGTACTCCAGGGCAATGGTATCTGTCAGGATCTCTGCCCTAACAACTAACAGCTTCTCTGTTATTCTTTCATGCAGAGGACGAGATGTATTACCTGAATCTTAATTGTCTATTAATCATCTTTCCCATTATCCCTTTAGAATTTTGAATCTAGTTTACAGTATAGTTTATTTTGAAACAGGATCAAAGCAAGTGTGGTCCACGTGGAGTTTTCAAGCATCTGATTGCTTCTATTTAAATTTTTAAGGATTGGAGAAACCTGATATCTCTTGATCTTACTACTCTTAAGTGTCCTTGGTGCTCAAGTGTGCTTGGTGATATCTTTATCATCTCATGGGGATCCTGTGATAAAATTGAAATAGCAAATTTCATTAATATAAATAGGTAAGAAAGGTCAAAAACCCCCCTAATAAATAGTAGTTTTCAAATTACACTTTAAAATCCTCCTATAGAAACTGAAAATACTTCTTGCTGTACTATTTGCCCCAAGAGGCTCTGAAACAGTATATCTCAGCAGAGTGAACAGTTCAATTCAGCTTTAATTGAATATGAAAATTTAAATCCCAGTTTTTATGAGCTTAATCAGCTGCATTTCAGCAGAGGGCAACAATGATAGGCTACAATTCTTGCAAAAAACGTAATAGCACGGAACAATATTCTTCTGCATTTCTGCTTCTCTGCCACAAAGAATTTTAAATAATAAAATTTTAAAAGCCCCAAACATTTGCAATCATTGTGCTCACCTGAAGCCAAGGCCTGCTCATTTGTGTACCTGCTGAGAAGTGCTGTGTTCCATGTTCTTGTTTGTTTCCTCTGCAGAGCAGTCACAGCCAGCACTGTGAAAATATCCATCTGTGGTTGCAACATTTAGTGCACAAAAATGACTGAATTTGGCCATGAGACGTTTTTCATTATGTTCCACTTCATATCATCTCCCTGCCCAGTATTCTTCATGTCTGTGATGTCCAAACATACTGTGAGATGAATTTTTGGAACATATCTGGTAAAATGTATTTGTACCATGAACAATCAGTTATGTTTTGAACTAATCTTCTTTGAGAGCTTTCACTAAAATATATTTTTCCCATCTCTGAAAGTTTTCAAAACCAGAACTCTGGATGGAACTCTGAAAAACCTCATCTAGTAAAAGGTGTCCCTGACCATGGTAGGGGTTGGAACTAGATGATCTTTAATATTGCTTCTCATCTAAACCATTCTATATTTATATGTTTCCATTATTGGTCTTGTATTATCACCAATAACCTATTTGATTGTCAGATGCCAGATACTTCAGTGACCTTCTTTTTGACTCCTCCTTCCTCCTTCCACCTTGAATTGATCATCAGTTCCCAAATTACTTTCTCTATGGTATTCTTAGGTTTTTTTTTAACTAATTTGCGTTCATGGAAATTGAATCAGACTAGAATATCATCCCTCAGCACCTGTTTTGTTATGCTTGAAGTGGAAACTGGTAGTTCTTGCTACCTTCAAATCAGCCTACATTGTGTTCAGAGAAGGGTTTGTTTTCTAGCTGCTTCTTCTTCTGTCTCCTTTTGTCCCATTCCTGATTTTTAATTGCTCTGTATAAACACATCTTTCTAAAGAATATTCTCAGAATGCCCCATTTTTTTTAGTATCGTATCTTGCTGGTGTGTTTTATTTAGAAATATTACATTCTTTTATATTTGCAGTGTATTGTATTGGTGTCCTGTGATGAAAACAAATTTAATTTTATTTAATTGCATCAGTTACATAGTGCTGTGTGCTATAATTGTGCTCAATAACACATAGTAGTACAATGAGTTAAGTGGAGTTATGGAAGACTGAAGCAACATTTCTCTTTTAGATAACCAGTAACAGAGATTTATTTTTTTTTCTCTTTTCATTTCTGTTAAATATTTACTTTTAGGTTTTAATTACCAAATATTTTAGATCTGGAAATTAAATTTTACTCAATGTACATTGTAACATGCTGGGAAGAACATATACATGCTGCCTAATTGTAGAACATTTTTATTCTGTAATGTCCAATATTTATGCACGTGAATGATAAACATGTAGCTGTTCCTAAAATTAATCATACTTAGCAATTTTTAGTTTCAGATAGACTTGAACAACTATAATGCAGTTTTCAGGTTTCTGTAAAAGAAATAAAATAATGCATTTCAAGAAATCTCCATTTTACCTGAAAGATAAACGTAGTTGATAAAACAACCATGTAATGTAGATGCTTAGATTGTACTTCAGAAAATGAGCTGTCAATTTTTGAATGATAAAATTATATTTCAAATATATATTTACATTTCAGAAGAACATTCACAGTACACAATAAACCTAATGTACTTTGTTAAAGAAAATAAAGTAATCTCTGTGTTTGGAGTAAACAAAAACAATCTTAAATTATTTAACATGTAACTTGCCGCCAAGTAGATATTTTCAGTATTTTGTTTAGAAAAGCAAAATTTCTTTTTCTTAACATTGTTCTTCGAGAACTTTAAATTTTCAGGCTATTAGGTGTAGCCTTTGCTTAGATGAAAATACATGGTTTTGACAAGGACTTTAATAGTCTCTACTAGCACAAACAGGGATTTAGCATGCTGGAGTAATTAACATTTCATTTAGGAATAAATCCCAGAAGTCTTCAAAATATTTTTATGTCAAAAATGTGTGATTTATCTGATTTTTATTTTAAAAAATCACATAAGTTAGTTGGTATCTTGTATAGATTAATGTTTTACAATTTCTGTATCCATTGAATGTCCGTGTTCCTCTAATGCTTCTCCTTAACTAACATTGAGGAAAGGAAGAAGCTGAGGCTGATGCACATGCAAGAAGGCTAGAGATGTTCTTCTGACACTTTTGATGCAGGATACGTTTGAAAACTGCTTGCCAGCATATTCTTGACAGTGGGAATTATCCTTTGATAGCAAAACTGTAGGATGTCAGTGACAAATTTGTTCAGATTTTGCATGAGGAATTCAAAGAATTCAAAGAGCTTGCCATTGCAGCCTGGTTCTGAAGTCTGCAAAATACATTGCCATTCACATCTCTGCATGTAGTTGTTTAGGGACAATATTGTAAACCCTGGAGGAAATTCAATGGTGATTCTTCTTTTCTTCTAAAAATATGTTGCAGGTTGGTTGAAGCAGTTTAATGTTATACTGTGGTTTCAGGGATTTCCAGATAATTCAGATACATTCTATATAGATACCTAGCTGGCAGTATCTTTAATTTAAATATGTTTTTATTCTAGGTATTAGGTATCTGTCATGAATGTGCATTTTAGATTTTCTAGGTTGTCAAAGGCTTTCAGAACTTATGCTTAAAAAACAACATTTTTCTTCTAGTAATGGTAGGAATGGGTATGTTCTACACATAATTCTCTTTGTATTGGACACTTCTGTGTCATAAAGCTGGCAATATTTGTTCAGATGGAGTCCATGAACTTCAGGGCTAAATAGAAGCTCATAATGAAATAGGTGTCATAGACTAGTTTTCTCTTTACTTTTCACCTAGGCATATTATTGTCTGTTTTAAGAAAAAATCGAACAATTATCACAACTGATTTTACATACTTGATTTTGCACCTAGGATTTCCAAAGCTATTTCAGCCCAAATCTTCATCATTCCTTAAGGAAAGGAACTTGCTTTGAGTTTAATGGCTTTGGTGGTGGGCAGTAAGTTGCTCTGAAATAATTTTATTTAGAGTTAAATATTCTAGCTTATTTTATATCTTCTAATAAGAAAAAAAAAAAAAAAGAAAAAAAGAAAAAAAGAAAAAATCATAGTGTTTCAGAATTTAGAAATAATTTTGCATGCATGCACCTCTCCTGGATTCCAAACAGCAGAATGAACCACAAAGTGACCACAGAAATATCCCACTGTTCAACTGAGCTTGCCAAAGGTATTTTCTATTTTGCAAGCATAATTTGGATGGGAGAGTCTAATATATGTGTCTAAAATACAATTTTTTTTTGGTTTTGTTTTTCCTTCTAGTGACTGAGTATTAATCTATTTTTTTATTCATTTTTATAGATTAAAAAAATCAACAGGAATTTTCCCGTAAACCAGCAGGTAAGAAAAATAACATTCGGGGTTTTTTAAATTTATAATTCTAATTCTCACTTGAACTGTCTTTAATTGTGTGGTAGCTATTCATTATTCAACCTGAAGAATTCTCAGTAGATTTTCCTTAGAGAGTACCTTGGTGTTTTTAATTTCTCAACTCAAAGGGAATTGGATTGTTTCATCAAAGTAAGAATATACCTAATCTTTTCAAATTAACCTATTTGATGCAGGTATATATACTTTTCTTTAGATTGTGTCTTACCAATTTTACTATAAAAGGGGAATGTTATCATTATCATCTACAGAATTAGCCAGAATAAATCAGTGTTACAGAATTCTAAAAATGTATGGTCTTTTGGTGTGGGGTTTTTTTTTGTGGGTTTTTTTGTTTGTTTTTTTCTTTTTTTCTATTGACAAATGAAGGCATAACAAATTACTATTTGCACAACTATGTAATCCAAGTATGAATAAAAATTACCAGGATAAAACTCAGTACACTGTGCAGTTAATGAAGTATATGTTGTGTATGACAACTATTAATTATATAATGACAATCTCCTTTTAAGAAACCTGTTAAGGGGAAACAGAGTAACCTGATTCATAAGAAGGAAAAAACTGCTTCCTAGTAGAAGGAGAGAAATATATATTGGACTGACCTGTAAGCTCACCTTCAAAAGGACAGATTTGAGGAAGAAAAGTGCTTTCATCTGCCTTACACAAAATCTTCAGTTAGTCAATGTATTTCTTAGTTGCCTTTCTCTAGTCCAACTTTATTTATATGGAATTGGGCTGAGTGTAACACACAAAGGAGGCAGATGCTTCTATTTTATTTTCTGTTTTCTTCTTGAGAAAATCCACAAATGTAAAAAGTTAATGAAAAGAGTATAATACTACTAATATTAACAATAATAACTATATGGGTAAGTATACATTAAGCTACAATATATCAAGTTAACATTTGCTTTAATTTTAATATTTTTCATATAACATTAAATGCAGAGAGTGCAAAGATATGCTCCTATCCCAAAAGAAGGAAGAAGATACTGGCTAGTGAACAAAAAGCAGTTAGCTGGCTCCCTTTTCACTACTATGATTCACCCTGAACTTACCTCTTTGCCTTTATTACTGTAAAAAAAATAGACCAAAAAAATTATAAACAACAGTTATAATGTTCCACCACTCTAACATATAATTCAGGGATCTCTGCTGTTATTGAACTCTCAGCAACAGGGTCAACAAGGCATTTTATTCCTCATTAGAACTCTTGTGGAAAGCAAAAATACCTTTCCTGGCTTTAATAGCTTTTTGGCCATGTTATCTGTTAGGACAGCCTGCAATTATAATGCATTCATCTCTCATCAACACCAATCATTATACTCCAAGGGAATTACTCTGGAGCACTTCAAGAAACTCAGTCAAAAGGTCAAACTAGAAAGAGAGGCTGATTTGATGGGCAGTGAGACTGGTAAGATCTTGTTGCCTGTGAAATACTGGAGAAGAAAAAGATTTCTTTATCTGTGGATGTCTGACATTTTATGGAACATTGAATTCAAAAACAGATTTCCTTTTGGGCTTACCTTATGTAGTTTTTAGCATAAAAGAAGTTAGGAAAAAAATCACCATATTTAAGTGAAATAATTAAATAATATTTTTGAGTAGAGCTGGAAAAGGCTACACAAAGGTTAATTTCTGTCTTTATGTGCAGCAAATGTTAACGTGGTATGCAGGGAAGAAACAGGATTTTTACTTGTTATATAAACACATATTTTATCTAAAAATTAAAATATCATCTCAAATACTCTTTCCATCTTGATTTCTTTTAAATAAAATTAATTTTTGTCTAAGGGGTTGAACAGCTAGTTTTAACTTCTTTCTGCAAGCACATCATGAACTTGAAAGCTGTCTTCATCCTATCATGCTTTTTTAAAAAAAGAGGTGTGCATATTTAATTTCACTTAAAAAATACCCACAGGTTTTTTTAATGAGCACTAGTAGATTAATTGAAGGTTATTTTCACTTAGAATTTATTTATATATATATATATATATATGTGGATTTTAATTAGTTAAGTAAAGAGGGAAGGCAGTTGTCAAACTGGAATCCAGGAACCAACCCTTAGGATTCCTTCATGAAAATATTCTTGATATGGAGAAGGCAATAGGAGCACAGATAGACTTGTTCGCATTACAGTGATAAAAAAAAAATGTACCTGCATAGGTGTGTAAGATGCTGCAACTCCAGTAGTGTTATCCAAACATCTCACTGTTGCAGCAAGTTAAAAAGATAAAAGTAATTAGAAAAGACTTCTTGTCTGCACATAATGTGGCAGCTTTCCTTTAACTCAGTAATTGTGAAAGTAGATTTGTCTGGAAAATCGTTAGAAAGATAAGATACATTAATTAAAATTTAAAGATCAAATATGATGAGTATTGATAAGAAGGTGGTTATTATATGGACAGCATGAAACAATAAGAAGTTCTCAGAATGGTGGTAGTACATTTAATAATGGTGGAAAGATGATGCAAAAAATTCTGGAAGAAGACCCACAGGCAAAAAAATATTTTTGAAGAAGATTGTGGGAAAGGAGTGAAATTAAGTTTCCTCTCTGGGTTAACAGCGACAAAAAGAACACTTGAAATGGTAAAAAATAGAAAATCAATTGTGTTTTTTATATTGGAACTGTATGTGTTGGATGTAAATAGTCACATTTAAGAATATAATAGCAAGTAGCTAAGAAAAAAAAATAATTTTGGACTCAAAATGTACTGCACATTTCAAATATGCACTAAAAATTATGATGTTGTAGACAAAATTTCCATAAATTCAGAGAATAAATTATATAGACCTCATAGCAGAGACTCAGAAAGAATGGAATATTTCAATGCTTCAGCCAGAGACTTCTCTAGCTGATCAGCCAAGATGGGAGTGGAATGATGGGCATGTTTCCTTTTCTTGGAACTCCTGACCTCTGCTGAGCTGTTACACTGATTACAGCAAATGTCAGCTCCTGTGAGAGCCATCATTAGGCAGGTGAGTTTTGAAAGGCAGCACTGACTCCCTGCTAAGGCTTTCCAAATAACAGTCAGTAAACTGTGGTGGTGTAATGAGGACAAGCACTGCCCATTCCTTTTCAATTCCGAATCTTTTCATTTTCCACCATGGATTTGCAAATGTGCTGGTCTCGGCTGGAAATCGACCTGATGGCATCTAGAGAAATGAGCATTAAGACAGTCCTTATAAAGCCTTCTGATCCTTTTCAGGGTGAGAAACCAAACGTAGCCTCCAGCTACTAGAGATTTTACTACACATTATAACTCTCATTTGCTGTTTGGGATTCATTGGGATTTGACTTTTACTGGTTGCCATGCCAGGAGGATGAATTGACAACATCTGGCTTAGGTACACAGTGGAATTCTAGGCTTAAATCTAAATCTTAGGCTGGCCTGCAGTTCACCTCTTCCTGTCGCTACAGAACAATTGGTAAATTGCAGCTGGGAAAGTCATAACTTTCTGAATCCCATTCTAACTTATTTCACTCAACAAGGCAGTGGTACAAAACAGATATTGCACGTGGCAAATTCAAGGAGTAGATTTTTCATTTCATGGATTATGGCTATGTTCGCGTACATGTTCACAAATGTGATAAATGGACATTTGCTTCTCTACTACATGGGCAACAGTCAAGTCTCAAGGTTTCACTTGAAACAGATAAAAATACCATGTCAGAGCAGTGTATTTTAATTTTTTTTCCCTATATTGTATGTTTCATCTCTGTTAGGACGAATACAAAGACTGTGACCCTCCACTTTTCATACAGTGAATTCACAAGAAAAGTATAGTGGAGAGGAATGCTATAATCCTTTTCATTGAACACTATTTCTCTTCTTTCTACATGTAGCATGAGAATTTTTGTGATACTTGTATCTCCAGAAGATAGGAAATTTTCATTAAATAATTTTGGCTTTTAAGGATAATGTGTCACTAGAATTTTTCTCCTTTATTGGAAAGGAATTGGTAGCTGGTCTATTCAAAGTTGACAGTTTATAACAAGAATCATGTGAGAATTTGAAGGAGCGTTTAACTGTCTTTAATTCAGTTTTAAAACAAGATCATGGCATAATTAACTGATGCCATGCTAAGGCCAGAAACTGGGGTATCACTGTGCAGTCAAGAGCCCTGGTTTTTTTCAGACATTTTACATTCTTGATGGCCAAGAATGGGGTGATAGGATACATCTGATGGCATTCACAAATATACATGGCTATGCCCATTTGATTTTACTTCTTATATAATGTAATAAAAACAACTGTACACAGATGTACCAGATCAGCTGCATCACCTCATATTCCTCTTTAATAGGGTGTTGTGAAGTTTTATTAAAGTTCTGCAGTTAGAACAATCTTATTTAAAATCTTATTTAAATCTTATTTAAAATTCTAGAAGTTTGACTCGGTGAGTTTATTTAATAAAACCGAACTTATATGTACTATATAAAAGTGAGTACACACAAATGTCATGGTGACTGTCTTGTCTGTCAATCAAGCCAGTGTTCTTTGCTGCAGATGTGATGCATCTCTGTTGCATCTGAAAATGTGAATTCCATCCCTCAGGTGAATTGATAGGACAACATCTGTTCTACTGATAAAAACCTGTATGAAATACAACACATACCTTTCTTTTTTTATTACTAATTGCAGAGTAATAGGCTCCATTGCTATTGTTTTGGTAATTTGAAAATGCAGTGATTAAACAGAGAGTTCTTCTGAAATCTGACATGTCCTCAAAAGAAATCAAGTCAGGTCTAGAAGTACATTAAAATCAGTGATTTTGTTCCCCCTCCTTAGTGTAATTTGTTTTCTGTTTTCTTTTTTTTTTCTTCCTAATTTTGCATGTCTGTTGAATTAATTATTTTCCAATATTCTGTTCTGTGGTACCTCAGAGTAGCCATCCTGCAGCGCTTGACTGACAGTTACTGAACTTTCAGATCCAATGATACATCTGCTCTG